ACGACTACCCAAAACATATGAGGATCATTGAACGATGCAACCTTTCATACAACCATATCGCGTCCCTTTTGTCACACGACATTTTGGTCATGGACGAGGCATGGAGAACGTCATCCTCCTATTCATGACCGTTACTTTCTCGATCCCTGAGTAGTCTGAGTATAGAAATGGAACTACCTTTTCATTATAGTATGGCCATACATTTCTCAGACTCACTCATCGAGGGGCCCAGTAATGTCTCTCTACGAATGTGACGGATAAATTCCATCTTGACCATTCACATTCCTCCGCATGAAAAACCACAAGCCTGAACATAGTCTTTATGATCACTCGGTCAAAAGTGACTTTTGACTAGGTCAAAGCTAAGCGTCTCTCATGTAGGAATCCATGATGATCTCAGGTCAAAGGGCACAGTGACATGGTTTGTATATGAGAGAAGCTTATGACTTAACCCATGCAGCTCTCTCATAGCGGGTCGGTCCAACACCTTGTACTCTTACATGTGCCTATGACTTTAATTTATATCTCTATATATCTTTAAAGTCATACTGGTCTTATTTCATCTTTGCTCCCACATAGATGACCGACCAGGGACATTTAGGATAAACCATGAGTTATCCAAGGATAGTCATCATAGTAAACATGCAAATAATATGATAACGTAATTAATAAATTCATAAATGAACAATGTTCAAAACATAATGATTGGCCCCTATGGCACAATTTCCAACAGGATTTAATATAAACCGTATTTATTTAATTGTTCTCTTATCTAATTATGCAATATTTGATATTGTATTAATTTCGGAATTAATTTGGGATTAATTTCGAAATTAAAATATCACTCATAATACCTATAGCATCCTATATATTCGATATTAGGGAGCTAGGGTTTGAGAGTGAGAGTGAAAGCACTAAGGAGATAAGGGACGGCCAAAAGTGAGGAGAGAGGACGGATTTTCAAAACCCTAGACGGACATAGATGCTAGCACGCCGTTCGAGGTTGAGGGCTACTCGTGTGGATACCGGTAGAGGAAGCCGACCGGAGTTGTCGACTTCGAACGACAAAGGAGGCGAGCAGAAGCATCCTGAACGGCCGAATCATCGAGTCACCAGGAAATCGAACACCGAAGGTAATGCTTCTTACTACCTGACTTAAACGCGATCGGTAGATCCGGGCAAGGGATTGAAAGTTTTAAAATTTTAAGTTGATTTCCGCTACGCGTCGTCTTTCAATTCCCTACACTTCCAACCACCCAAATTCTTCCTTCTTAATAAATGTTTTCCTTTTCCACCGAATTCGGTGAAAAGGTGTGTGTGGGGTTTTTTCAATTTTTTAATAAAGTATGATTATTTTATTATAATAATAAATATTATTATTTTACATTTTTTTTATTTTTTTTTGCATAAATCTTAAATAAGATTTAGGATATTACACTATTAATGTATGTGATGATAAATAATGATGATGGGATGTATAATTGACTATAATATTGTATGAGAATAGTTATAGATTGATGAAATGAGATTATGCATGGAAATAATTAATTATGAATTGTTAACGTAGGTAAAAAAGATAAATCATCCCTAAAGGAGCCACGAAATGTTGCCAGTGTGGAAGGAAAACAAATGGACGATTTTGCCTATGTAATTTAGCATAATTAAAGTACACATCTGAAGCTTTAAAACAAGTGGTAGATCACTTAAAATGATCATGTATGCTAAGAGTTGCGCTTGATCAAAGTTAGGGCAGAGAAATTAGAAAGTACAGTTTTGACCAAATGAACAATAAAATTCAACAAATAAATTGTATGAATTAGCAAATGTTAGGTTTAGTTTTATAGATTTTTTCCCTATAGAGAATTGAAAGAGCTTCAAATAAAAATTTTGAACAACCTTAATACGATTTTTCTATAATTAGTTATGATTTTTCAAAGTTAGACAAAAAATCTGGAATTTAACTATTAAATAGTAACCCGAAAACTAATTGCAAATTTTTAATCTACGGGCTTGCTTCGTGAATCGCTTGAACCATAATACTTCCAAAATGTGTACTTTGAGGGGTTAAAGGAAAGATTTTTCAGTGTGTCTATATATCTGAAAGTGAAATTAAAAGTACAAAATGCCAAAAAAAAACAAAGCGTAGAAATAAGGTTTTTGGTTTCTGAGGCAATAGAAAGAGAGAAATTGAATAAGAGAGAAATTGAATGAGTACTTAGGAATCCCGATACAACACGCTGGGTCTTTGCAACAGGAGAGAGTAAGAAGATCTAGTAAACTGTAACAAATCACCAGCAGGAAAAGTTTGTATTGCTCTGGGTTGCCACATTCAAAGCTCATTCTTTGGGGGGAAAAAAGAAAATTTAAGGAAGGTACTAAGAACTGAGGGCAAACGGTCTTAAGTGTTGAGGCTTTGAGTGAATCCTGGTGAAACATGCTTAGAACTCGATGGATTGGACCTAATGAACAAGATATAAGTTTTGTCCTTTGATATATTAGCATTTAATTATAAATTTACATGAAATAAAAAAATTTGATGTAATGGATATATAAATTGACGTAAGTCTTTTCCTTAAAAAATAATATGAGGTACCTGCCATAATTTTGACTCATATTCTATGGGCAATTAAACAACTAATATTTTATTATTTATTTAATTGGAAAAAGGTGTACTTGAGTCTTTTATTTGTAAAAAAAATAACTAAAACATATTATATCATTTATTTTAAATTTTTGAACACATATATATCGGGAAAATCAAGCTAAATGGAAATGTTTTAGAAAAAGACATGGAGAAACTAATATGGAAAGTTAACAACAAATATTATATAATTTATTTAAGTGGAAAAAGAGGGTATTCTATTTAAAAAAACAATTAAAAATTTGTCAATCCATCTCGTTCCTCGTTGCGCTACTTGTTGCACTTCTAGATGGCCTTGCTGCAACCTCTTCCTTGTCATATTATTAGATTAGATATGTTCATTTATCTCCTTGTGGTTGCACCACTTGTCGCGCTTCTAGATGATCCTATTGTAATATCTTTCTTATTATACTATTAGATTAGATATGTCTAAAACACTAATGTTCATATTTTTTTAAAGATGATAAAAACTTGTCTTTTAGACATGCTCTAGCATATAAGTATTTTTTGTTGGTGCTAATAACGTTGAAATAAAAAGAAGAAAAAATAGCAAATAAATACCTCCCAATATGTAAAATTGTTAAATGGGTTCTTTAATATGAAAAATGGTTTCAAGAGACCTAGTCCTATATTGCAAATATAAAATGATAGTGAAATATCCAAAATGCCCTTCTTCTTTTTTCTCTTTCTTCCTCTCCAGATCTCCTTTCTTTCCTTATTCTTTTCCTCTCTCTCTTTATCCTCTCTTTCCTCTTGATCTTCCATCATTAACTTCACCCCTCACTCCTTCCCAAAGCATATGGAACTCACAATGTCCTTCGATAATCTTCTCTTCGTTGTCATCCCCTGTCACTTTCTTCTTGTCTTGCCTAGTTGTTCTTTCATTGGCAATGAAACCTCTTCCATCATTCTCTCTGTTGCTACAGAAGGAGAGGAGAGTCGAGGAACTTGAGGGAGAGTTGCAGTCATTTGCGATGCTTATGATGCTTGCTTGGAATGTGTGCGATGATGGCTTGGTGCTAAGACAATACCCAACAAATCTGGATTTTTATTCTTCATTTCTATTTTGATTTTCAGCTTGTGTTCATAATTAAAATAACAAGTTTGGTAAGTTGTTTAAAAATAACAAGTTGATAAGTTTTGATATCTAGTTCATAACAAGTTCAGTAAGACGAATGACAAGCTTAGCAAGGCGAATGACAACTTCTATAAGCAATTCATAGAAATTTGAGTTTCTGTGTTAAAATGATAGAATTTTCAGATTTCTTTAGCAGATGACAAGTTTTGATAAGCAATTCATGACAAGTTCAGTAAGGCGAATGACAAGTTTAGTAAGGCGAATGATAATTCTGATAAACAATTCATAGGAATTTAAGATTCTGTGTTAAAATGACAATGTGCACAATTCCTTGGCAAATGATAAGTTTAATTTGCCTTACTGAACTTCATAGAATTAATTATCAGAACTTGTCATCTGCTAAAGAAATTTAGAAATTCTGTCATTTTTTTAACACAAAAACTTAAATTTCTATGAATTGCTTATCAAAAGTTGTTATTCGCCTTACTGAACTTGTCACGAATTGGGTATCAGAACTTGTTAACTTGTTATTTTCAACAACTTACCAAACTTGTTATTTTCCATTATAAATACAAGATGAAAATCAAAATAGAAATGAAGAAAAAAATCCAAATTTGTTGGGCATTGTCTCAGCACCAAGTAATCATCGCACACATTCCAAGCAAACATCACAAGCATGCAAATGACTGCAACTCTCCCTCAAACTCCCCGACTCTACTCTCCTTTCATAGCAACAGAGAGAATGATAGAAGATGTTTCATTGCCGATGAAAGAACAGCTAGTCAAGACAAGAAGAAAGTGACATCGGATGACAATGAAGAGAGGAGTGCCGAAGGACATTGTGAGTTCCATATATTTTGGAAAGGAGTGAGAGGTGAAGTTAATAATGGAAGATCAAGAGGAAAGAGAGGACGAAGAGAGAGAGGAAAAGAAAAGGGAAAGGGAAGGAGATCTGAAGAGGAAGAAAGAGAAAAAAAGAAGGGCATTTTAGACATTTCACCATTATTTTATATTTGCAATATAGGAGCAAGTCTCTTGAAGCCATTTTTCATATTGAGGAAGCCATTTAGCAATTTTACATATTAGGGGATTTTTATTTGCTATTTTTCCTAAAAAAAAAGGTAATCCACTTTCATCTTTTTTTTTTTTTAAAGTGAAGGAAGGTAATCCACTTTTAATTCACATATAATCTTCCCCGTGAGCCCAATAAAACAAGTTGGCATTTATATCTCTTACCGTAATTGTATGGTGGAACTTGCTTTTTATTAACTCACCGACGCTCTTAACCACCCCACGTCACGTCATCACGTATCTCCGATCTGGCGTTCCCTCTTTCGCTGCGGTGTCCGGAGTCTCTTTTCCGGCTCTTCTTTCGTGCAATCCGTCAGCCTTCCTTCTTCGTCTCTTCTTGTGCTGCTCACTCGCTTCGATCTGCATTTCTATCTTATTTTGCTGCTCCCCTGGTTCGCTGTCTCGTCGTCAGGTTCAATCTGCTCACCTGGTCTCGTCTTTTCCCCCCTGTTTTTTAATTTGGATGTTTGTATCCATTGGATGTGCATGCTGAACCCAAAGGAAGGCTGACATTCTTCTTTGTGCTGTTAGATTTATTTATATATTTTCAGAATTCATAGTAGTTTTCTTGGGTTGAAGGCGCACTCGTGCACACGCTTAAATGAAAATATGTTATAATATATATGCCTTTCTTTGCCTGTTACCCTTTTCAGTTAAGAGTATGTTGAAGGCGCTTCTTGCTTTGTTCTTGATGATCAAGGAAACCGATTTTGTAAACTGAATATATAGATGACTGGAACATATATTGATTAATTGGTGAATACCACAGCAGTTGTTCCCCCCCCCCCGGGGGGAATGACGCCAATATGGACAAGTCAATAATTAATATTTAATTATGTCATATAACTTAATAATTCAGGTAGAGATCATATAACTTAATAATTAATGCAACTAAGAAATTGATTTTGTTAGTTCAATAGGAGAGGAGGACACCGCAGTAGCCCTGGGGAAAGGTCATGTGTTTGATTAATTGATTCTTCTAAGAAGGATTTTGTTAATTTAGTAAATAAAAGGAGACAGTATATTCCTTGATAAATCTTGGTTTGATTCTTGTGCGAAGAATCTCCTTATGTGAGAGATTTTGTTTTGAGTAGATTACATACTACCCATGTTCTGTTATATGGCAACAAAAGAAAACTACAAATTTGTCATAGGAAAACGGAAAGGTATTACATTTTGAAAAAGCAAAGGTCTATTGTATTGATTTTAAACTTGTTATTGGGCTGACTTTTGGTGAAGAAACTTTCATATTGCAAGACACCAAGGAGTTACCTTTTACAACCGATCACATGACAGTTACAAGAATGACCAAAGAATTATGGCTTCTTGTTACTGTGTAAATGACAATGCCAAATTTATTGCCTTTGCATTTATGTAAATATCAACAAAAGCAGGTTATACCATTTAACTTGCTACAAGTCTGGAACACCCTTAAGCCTTATATGAAAATATATTAAATTTCCTTTCTTTTGCTCTACTGCATGTTGTCTGCATAGCTGAAAAGTATTTAAATTTGAAGAAAACGTAGAAATTGTGCATTTTATTCATAGGGTAATGCTGTTTAAATATATACAAGTAAGAGGAAAGATCATTCCATATCAGAGTGATTAGCTGAGATCCTTGGGATCTCAAATAGGAAAAAGTAATAAATATAAAATCACTAAAAATCGGGGATACTAATCAGAATTCAAACTAGGGTGATGGCTGGGAAGAAACCTAGATTATTAACCTTGGGTTTTGGGCCCAACATCCCAACAGTAGTGGCGCTAACAAAAATTGATTTGTTATCTTCTCAAAGAGAGGGGCTGCATTTTGACTATGCTATACCCCAACCCCCTCCCCCACCCAAAAAGGAAAAATTTAATCTTATTTTTGATAGGCACATGCGAAAAAAGTTATTCTTACAAGCTAAAGCATTCTGTCACCATCTATGACATTTCATCCATGCATCATTCTTATTCTTGCTGAAATACCTTTGCATGTTATCAGTTGTGATGTTGCCATGATCATTTTGAGGTCTGTCTTGTTTGTTTTTTTTACCTTCTCTCTTTTGCTTTGGTGGTATATGAGATTCCACTTGTTGGGTACAGAAATTGTGTTTTGGATCTACTGCTCACTGTACCTACTTGTCCCTTCATGTAACATTTTTGTACACTAAGTTATAACTAATTTTTGTGGGTGCTTGAAGTTATGAATTAAAAAGTTGTGCTTATGGTTTGGCTTGTGTTTTGTTGGTTATACACACTGGTTGTCACATATAATTTTGGTATGACGTAATGAGTAACAAATCAAAGGCTACATGAGATAGGAAGGCTAGTATGATTTTTATCAACTTATGCTAAAAATGAGGATTTAAACAAAGTGGTGCTACCTTTACAAAAAATGCTCGGAAAGCTATACAATCTACATTCAATGAGAAAACTGTCAAAGCCCAAGACAATTGAAAAACCAAGTGGGGCAACCTCAAAAAGGAATGGTAAGTGATAGGGTCCAGCGTCCAATGTTAGTATATTCTAGGAAGAATGTAAGGACTAAGGGTAGTTAATGTCGGTTTATGTTTCAGTTTTATGTGTGTTGTCTTATTTTAAGTTATTAGTAATTATTAGGGAGTTCTAGACAGTTATGCAGTTAGTTATTTGTGTTGGTTGTTTAAGTATTGTACGATCAGACAATTATGATATGACAAGTATTATTCAGACAACTTAGCTCTCTTCCTTCTCTTGAGTTTCAGATTCTGATTCTAGAGATTCCCACCTTCCCCCTCTTCCTGTTTCTCCTGTTCTCTTCCACCCTATTCTTCTCTTTTTCACTCTAAATTCTTCCTGGCCCTATCAGCCAGCACGGGATAAGATTTTTTGGTCATGAAATAGGTTTAGGATGGAACTATAAAAAGAATACGGTAGATGCTCTAGATGAGTGGTGACAGAAAACACAATCAATATGAGTTGTGAAGATAAAAATGTAATTGAGCCTAAGGATGAAGATCATGTTGATAAGAATTCATCGTTAGAGATAGATTGTGTTCTTCATTCAATATGAGATCAAATTATAAAGTATATGCAAGACAAGTTGTCACGTACTATCAAAAATTCATGATTAACTTCTTTATATTGGAAATTTTCCTATTTGTAATTTATATATATTTATTAAATAGATCAAATTATATATGCTATGTAGTTTAATTAGTCATGAAGTGTTATAAAATTCATATAATTTCTAATAATCACACATCCAAAAGTTTTTATGATTAAAAACCATCCAAACATCTTTATTTCCTTAAAGTCAATTCTGAAAAAACATCTAAGCACAAGTCTCATTATAATAAAATTAATTTTATCTAAAATCAAGTTTGCATTTCAATTTCGCCCAATCCATTTTGACTGACCTCAATCCAAACACAAGTAATATGTTTGGTGCTATGCTTCATTTATTGTTCAGATCTCTTCACGCATTGCAAGGAAACTGATATAGAATCATAATTCTGTTGAGAGAAAAAGACGGAGAAAGGAGGAGAATAAGATGGAAAGATAGAGCAGTGGGGAAAAAGAAAGATAGAGAGGAAGAGAGGAGACAAGAAGAGAAAGAGGAATGGGGCAATGCGCTAATTCATATCATGTTATCATCTGCCATACAAATGGTTGCTTAATATCTATTTGTAGATAACCATACTTTTAACTACCTCTCATATGCCTCACTCCTATAACCACCCATTGTGTTATTCTGTTATTTATTTATTATGATTGCATAACAGAGACTTCTAGAGGGCACAGATCTGGAGACTATCAAATACACAGAGATGGGTTGCAGAAGAAAATTGTTCTCAGATGACTCTTCTTCCTCTTCTTCACTGTGTGAGGCTTTGTTATTTGCCACATTGTGCATCATTGGCCTTCCTGTCGATGTGTACGTTAAGGATGGTTCTGTCTATTCTGGAATTTTCCACACTGCTTCTGTTGACAAGGATTATGGTGAGTTTTTGTTTTAGGAACACCATCGAATTTTCTACTTATTAATTTTTTTTCCAATTTTTTCGCTGTGGAAACTCCTTTGAATTGATATTTTGTTGGAAGCTTATATCGGTTTTAATGGAATGGGAAATTCCAATGATCCTGCGTGTGCCTGTTTACTATCATATGTGTCATATATTTTGTGTTGCTTGTTTTCTTTTGCCTATTTTCTTAGCTTTTTCCTGTGCCGTAGTCTGTTTACTGAAACATGACTGCGGGATCATGCGTAGATAGATTTTGGTTTTTACATCAAATGTGGGAGTGATCTGATTGGCGACATAAAGTTGGTTTGTGCTGCACTTTCTCTGACTTGCGATTGCTAAATGATATAAAGAAAGGAATTGAATTTAGAATTCAACTACAATACTTTATTTTATATGGGTGCTTCTACCATTGGATCTGGGGTTTTATTATTGGGTCCCATGCAGATAGTTGTGTACAAGAAGTTTCGTTTTCTGGTGGAAACTCAAAAACATGGGGGTCTAATCTCATATTTTAATATTTACATATTATAGATAGACACATTAAAATGATGCTTAGAAAGATCTGATCTGACGTTCTAATAAATTGGAATGTCGAACTACTTGACAGCATTGTTCTTCTTCCCATGACGTTCAGGTATCATTTTGAAGAAAGCAAGGATGACCAAGAAGGGAAAAGGTGACGCAAATGTTGGAAAGGAGGGGTTAATAGATACTCTAGTAATCCAATCAGGTGACCTTGTGCAAGTTGTTGCCAAGGTTAGCCATTTTAGTTTCTCACCATTCATTTTCTAATGTATGTGCCTAAGGCCATACATGTAGAATTTAACTATGGATTTAATGTAAACGTGTTTGTGTAGGGTGTAATGCTTCCCACAGATGGTGTTAATGGAAATATGACTGGTGATGATGAAGAGGCAGCTGAGCATACTGCTTTTAAAGCAGAGAAACCAAAAGGGTCCCTAAAGGATGATAAAGTGCCCGTTAATCAATCAAGGTAACCTTACATTAAGTCCATTCACATGGATACACATGCATCAAGTTAACTGAAGTTGATGGATTGTTATATATTGCAATACTGTGGAGCATTCTTAACTTCCCTGTTGGCATTTCAGATTAACATGTGGTTTATAGGGTAGGCTTTAGATAGAAGCTAAATAGGAGTTTGGTAGTCAAGGGTTTTGGATGGCAGTCGATTTAATGGGTAAGCTGCTGTAAGAATTGCTTCTCCCTAGTAGGTTTTAGGGACATTGTGTGTAAGCATAATGGTTTGGGTTATTTCGAGAAGGTGTCTGTTTTTCCTTTCAGCTGTTCCATTTTGTTGAGATGTGTTGACACAACTGGTTTGATGGATGATACCGTGCTCTTTTAGGTAGGTCTGGGGTGTAGAACTCGTGTTCTGTTCCATTGTTACTGCGAAGGACTTTGATTGAGGCATTGAATTGATTTTGGATCATTTTGTGAAAGTTAATAAAGTTGTTGGTTAAATCAGATTTATCTTTCAAGAGAGAGACCCAGGTAACTCGTGTGTGATTGTCAATTAGTGTAACGAACCATTTTGCATGTGAGATGTTAGGGATACGGGCAGGCCCCCAAATGTCACTATGTATCAATGAGAAAGGTTGAGAATACATATGTGGGTGTGACCGATAAGTGCTTTGGTATGTTTTGATGATTGACAAAACTCATAAGGAATCAAAGATAAATTTTTATTCAACATGGTATTGTTCATGAGATTGAGTGGCCTTGCTAACAGACACAAGACTACATTTTAAATATGGCGCATATAACACTTTTCTGATAGGTTTTTCCCAGAGAACACCAGTAACAAATCGAAATATAAAAGATACGCAAGCAAGTAAAAGGGAAATGTTGAGATTTTTGGTATTAAATCAAAATATCTGAATCAGAGCTACAAATGTTCCAGCGGTGATTCAGTTCAAAAATCCTATTCCCTCACAATAGATAACTGAATATGCAAATAACTAACCAAGCCGGAGCAAGGTCCTACTGGCCTCCCGCGAGAACCAGTCCCAACAGGTATAACCCGCATCAAAAGAAAAACCTCGTACCCCCACAAAAGAAAGCTGGTCCTAATATAAGCAGCAGCGAACAATACAAAAAGTACCTAACGAAACATCAACGTCTACAGCCACCCTAACTGTCATCCCTCTAGCGCTAGTGTCCCTAGACTTTCCTTTTATAGGTCTGAGCAAAAGTGTTGACTCTATCATTTTCTCAAAATGATATTTCCAAATAAGCATGCTTTACCAATCCCCTGAACTCTAAGGTATTTACCATTTGCCACTTTAATAAACATTGGAAAAAGACATGATTTCGAATTCTAATCAAATTCACATTCCCAGTAATATGGTCGGTGGCTATTGAATTAACTATCGACATGTTCTTATGATGTACACTAGTTTTAAGTGCTAGAATTGCATTACCTGTGTATGCAATGTTACCAGAAGATATTTGTTGGTCAGGAGTAGTGTGCTTATCTAGAATTTCTTGGAGTATCTCTAGCTCTTCTCTTGTAAGCTTCAACTCCTCCTTAGTTGTAACATCTGCAGCAAGAACTTTTGCATTTGGTCTGCCCTTTCCTTTTATGTTTGCTAGTTTTCCATGGAGTTTCCAACAAACATCTTTTGTGTGACCTGATTTCTAGCAATGTTCTCACCATTAACCATTCTTCCTATTTTTAGTGTTAGGGCCTTGAGCGCCTTCAGCTGAAATGGCGCTATTTTCTGTTTCCCTTGGAACTAAAGGAAGAGAATTTGGCAATTTCTTCCTGCTTTCCTCATGTTTGATCGTGAAGAACACCTCTCTCAAATATAGAAGAACCTCAAGGCTCATGATCTGGCCCCTAGCTTATATAGGGTTTGGAGCCCCAGGAGGAACTTATAGATCCTTTGCTCTTCCTTGATCTTGTTATATAGTTTGGCATTTGTAAGACAGGACCATTTGTGTGAATGATAGAGGTCCTACTGTTGCCATATGACATTTAGATTAGTCCAATATTCAGTCACATTCAAGGTGCCCTATCTAAGGTTGTCTAGTCGTTCCTCAATTTCGAATGGTTGCCCGGTTCTTGATTGAAGCAAACAGGTCTCAAGTTGCATCCTACACGTCTTTGGCTGATTGGAATAGCAAAAAACTTACACTGATCTTGGGTATCATCGAGTTCACTAGCTAGGATTGAATCATGAAATCCTCGGCTTCCTATTTGGTGTAAGTAGGGTCAGTGCTCGATAGCTGCTTCATTGCTCCATTGAGATGTCCGAATTTGCCTTTGCTGGCAGCTCATTGTAGATAGTTTTGACCGTTTAGTCTATGGATGGTAATTGCCGAAGGGCTCACATCAATCTGGGGCACTTGGTGAGTCGTTGTAAAAAGCCAAATTCCGATCCTCTTTGCTAATTAACAAGTCCTCCAAGTTCTGAGTCGCACATTCACTTCCGTGTAGAGCTGGGAATCAGGGCCGGCCCGGATTGATGTGAGCCCGCGGGTCGTTGTAAAAAGCCCGCAGGTCGGCCCTGGCCCTGTAGCTTAAGGGCCGGGCCTAGTAAATTGGGGTATTTTTAAAATTTCAGCCCTGGAGGGCCGGCCCTTTTAAGCCCTCGGCCCTCCAGGGTTTATTTCTCATTTTAAAAGAAAAATATCAAGCCCGGCCCTCATAATTTCAGGGCCTAAACGGACCGGCCCAACGGGCTCGGCCCGTTTTCCCGGCTCTACTTCTGTGATTAAACAACTTGTAAAAGTGAGTATCTCATCTATCGTTAATATCTCCATCAGTAACTAGAACTTTACCTTCTTCGTCCTTTATACATCTCACACTTGGTTCAAATATCTCTTTTGCCTCTTTTTTGCTTGTAATCTTGTAAATATTTCTTTTCCCCACCTTTGTTCCTAACTCTTATAAAACTCTTCATACACTTTAGAACATGTTTTACTCACTGCTCTCTTCATCTCTTTTTTAGCCACACAATACTTTTTCTAGTTTTCTGCATTATTGCACAAATGTATGACCTTAAAACAATTTCTTTTTTGTTTGACTTTTTTTTATACAATCTTATCCCACCGCCAAGTCTCATCTCTTTGATCACGACCTTTGAATTCTTCCAAAATTGCTTTAGCCATCTCCTAGCCATCTCCTCTCACATGATGTTAGTATTTCCTTGCAACTCCTAGATCCATTTCCCCAAAAGAATATTTTAACTGCCACCACCTAACTCTGGGGTTAACCACTTAATGATACTTTTGTTGGGCAGTCACCCATCCCCAGTGATCACTTTACAATTAGTACAAGGTCTTCTGTTTGGTTTTTTAACCAGAAATAAATCAATCTGTGATCTTGAGATTGTACGCAAGAGAAAAGTCAAAAATAGATTGTCCTCCTTTGTTAAGCTCCTCAAAACCAAAACTAGCAAAGCCCCAATAAATTGTCCTGTCTTCTTGCAGACATGTCCATTAAAATCCCCATCAATAAAAATCTTTTCTTCAAGTGGCATGCTTTGAACCAACCCCTCTATATGATAGAATATAAGAATACCTATATTAGAAGAAAATTTTAAATTTATTATTTGAGATAATTAATCCACAGCTCCTTATAGTTTCAACTAATTTTGAATTAGGTTCTTATAGTTTTTTTTTATCAGGTCCTTATACTTTCACCTATTTTTAATTAGGTCCTTATATTTATTTTTCTTTTTATCAAGTCCTTATAAGTTCACCTTATTTTTAATTAAGTCCCTGAATTTTTATTCTTTATTTTATAAATTCTAATAGTACTATTATATAAACATAAAATAGTATATATTATTTAATATTAGTTTATAAACAATAATATTCTAAAGATATTGAATTATTATAATGATTTTAATTTTTTCAGCAAAAAAATTAATTGTTCTAAAAAATTTTCCTGAATTAATTAATTCTATTACCTTTTTATTACATAATTATTAATTTAATTTAATTATTAATATTTTATATTTCAGTATTAATTTATTTAATTAAGCTTATATTTAATTAATAAATAAAAATTAAAACTACATGGACTTGATTAAAAATTTAGTGAAATTATAAGGAATTAATTAAAAGAAAAATAAATACAAAGACCTAATTAAAAAAAGGTAAAAGTATAAGGACCTAATAAAAAGTAAAAAAACTATGGGGACTTGATTCAAAATTCGTTGAAACTATAAGGACTTGCGGATTAATTAATTCTTATTATTTCTATGCAAGTTGGCTTTTCTTAGTGGTTAAGTTTTAGCAAGTTGTCATTAAGTTTCCGGCTAGTAAAAGAAATCAACTTGGATTTTGCTTTTATATTTTATTAGAAAGTTGTCATTAAGTTTCCTTCTAGTGGAGGAAGTTTGATTTTGCTTCTATATCTTACTAGGAAGTTTTCATTAGGTTTTTTTCTAGTGGAGAAAGCCAAATTTGATTTTACTTCTAATAGCAAGTTGTTATCAAGATTACTTCATAAAGAAGGAAATCTTGATTTGTGAATAAGAAGGGTAGGAAGCATATGTAGAAGAAGACGTTGGATGGAATGAAAATTTGAGTTTATGAATTTAGATTCTCCTTCCCTCCCTAAATTTTGTTCTATTCTCCCTCAATTTCTATTCTCTTCCCCTTGATTTTGTTCCTCACTCTCTATTTCTTCCTCTTCCTTCTTTGTTCTACATCTCCCTCCCTTGTAATCTCTCTACTTTTCTATTTCCTTCACCTAAATCACCTCTATTTGCATAAAAGTTGAGTGTGTGTGGGTGTCTTGCATCAGTTTGGTTTTATTGCAAGGCTTAGAATGCTCCAAGGCTGCTTTTGTTGCCGGAAAACCCTAAAGCACGCTTACTAGAGACTCCATACACTGTGTTTCATGGTACGCAACCCGAAACCCCTATTTCTAGTCACTAACCCCAAAAACCACCACCATTACCACGTTCACAAGGGAAAATCTGGCCTACCACAGGCTCCGCTACTCTGTTTCCACAT